GGCGGCGCCCGACGCGCAGGCCGACCGGCTCACCGTCTACCTGGTGGTGGCGCTGGCCGCCGTGTCGTCGCTCTTCCTCCTGTCTGCGCTGGCCTTCGTGGCGGCGCGTGTGTGCGCGAGGAGCGGGGCGGCGGCGCGGGGAGGCTCGCCGGGGCCCGAGGGCCACTTCCCGGGCCACCTGGTGGACGTCAGCGGCGCCGGGACGCTGTCCCACAGCTACCAGTATGAGGTGTGCCTGACGGGAGGTACTGGGACCAGTGAGTTCAAGTTCATCAAGCCCATTCTCCCCAACTTCCTTGCTCAGGGTGAGGAGGGTGTTAATGAGGCAAGTCCGTTTCAGGGGAAGGTATGAAGTCAAGGATAAATTTTAAAGGGCTTATTGAATTTAGATATTTGTATCTTTTACTAATGGTTGTAAATGAGTGTATTTATGGGAACAAATGTCAAAAATTTATATCCAATGCATTATAGAATATCAAACCACCAGTCTTAAAACCCTAATAGTCAGGTACTTTAAAAAAATGACTTTCCTAAGGTAGTTTTGTGTGGGCTTAATGAAGCTGGTGCATAGACAACAATATGTGTTATTTAAGATGTACCATGTTTTTAAGGGTATAATGCTCATATGAAAGTAATACACCTAATTCAGAATGACAGTAAAATTTATTTCAATATTGGGCCTCCCTGGTGGTGCAGGGATTAAAATTTCAGAATTTTCAAGCTACTGCTAGGCACCTTGGCAAAAGTTTGCTCCCCAGCCAGGGAGCTAACCTACAAGGCACAGAAGACCTCTCCTGTTTTGCCCTCTGCTCCCCTCAGCAGTGTACTTCATCAATTGGCCTGTCCTGCTCCCCACTCTGTCTCTGGTGTATCCTCTCACCCCACCACTGACCCCAGTTCATGCATGCATAAAAAAATAAAAACAAATCTTTTAAAACAATTATTTCAGTTTTGGATATGCTTTCAGTGACCAAAAATGGACAAAAATATCCAGTCTGGTTATTTTGCCTATATTTTACCAGCAACAATCTGCCATTTAATTTCCAGAATAGTCTTTGGCCAAAGTGTGTCATGAGAATTTAGATGGAGGTGGGGAATCAAACTTCAGCATTTTAAATATGATTGTGCTTTTCTGTTTGGCAAAATTAGACTTTTGCAAGGTTTCTGAAAAATGGCAATATGGTTTGTAAATTATGAGATGTAAGTTTTCTCAACCTAATGGGCATTTTTGAAAATTTCATGAATAGGCATGTACATATACTCTCTACACGTAGTTTGGTAAAAATAATGTGACATTAAATCTCACTTTTTTGTTGCTAATATTGACTGGACATTTATATAAAAATGGGAGAGAAATGTTTTCCTTTCCTTTTTTGGCTCCTTCTTTAGATCCCTACCTGACATGAATCAGGATGCTGTATGGACCTTCTGGAATAAACACTGTCCATGCACATCAGCATCCTATCTGCGGTAGAGTGGTTATAAGAAGATGCGCCAGAATAGCAGGAGAGAGCAGTGTCATTGGTAAAAGAATAAACTAGCTAAAAGCAAAAATAAAGTGGGACACAACCAAAACACCAAATTAGAGAAGATGATTAGGAAAAAAAATTTCTCTTTAAAGCATTATCTCATACCAATATTAACTTTCCAGAAAATGACTTCTAAATTCACATTTCAATGAAAGTGAAATATAGGTTTCATTTGGAAGGTTAGCTAATATTAAATTTCACCATTACTTGCTTTTAATTTTTTCCTTCAAATGACCACTTGATGTGCTAAAACTTGTCTTTCTTTATTGGGAAAATACAAAAGATAATTCCTTTTTAAATTTTAAATAAAAATCTACAAACCACTAGCATTATTTAGGTATCAATAATAGGTTAATATTTTGAAATTATATCATTTGAACATTTAAGGAACTAAAAATGCTCATTAAGATCTAAAATCTACTTTACCAATTTATGTCCCTCTCTCTCAACAATGTGAACTCTTCCTCTACTTCTTCCCTTTAATTTATGATTAAATAGCTCTCTGGTCATCATCAGTTTTCAAAACATTTTCTCACTTAAAGAAATCAAATGTGACAGAGTTAAAAAAAAGTTAAAGTATGTACTTAGCATTTTGAAGTTTTGGATTACTTCTATTCAAAATTCTTTAAATGTTTTTTTTTTCAATGACTTAAAGTTCTTGCCCATATTTTATTTGGGGGAAACTGCTATTTAATTTCCAGAATACTCCTCGTAACTACTCTATCTCTCTTTGAATATTCAAATATCGTACTTTAGGATTAGCAACCAACCAGTTTTTCAAATTGTTGTATGACCCTGCAGAATGTAAGTCACCTTTTCTCCCATCCATGTACTAACCAAGACTGATCCTGTTTAGATTTTAAGATCACAGGAGAATCAAGGACATTCACAGTGGTGTGGAAGGAGACAGACAGTGCACCTTTTATTACTGCCATGAATGGTTTATCAGGTGATCATTCTGTATAGCAATAACTCCACTTCCATGCAGATATGACATAATTGCTTTTTCCCAATAAACTTGGCATTTGGGTGGATACTTTATGATATAATGTTAGGCTGACCTTTTAGTTCGCCTACTTGACTTTAATTTTATATCCTAGTAACATTCTAGAGACCTAGTCATAGATCTTCTTTCTCTTTCATATTTAAAGCTTTAGGGACTTAATTAGGTATGTCATTCTTATATTTTTATCTAATTATCTAATTAATTTTACCAAATCAACACACTATTAGTTTCTTTCCAATTGCTAAGTGTTGTAGCACCTCTCTTTGCTGGTATCTATTTCTAATGGGAGACAAGCCACTTTAAACTTTCTTGTATTAATTGAAAACTTCTATGCAAATATATTTTACCTATAATATTCATGTGTCCACAGCCAGACTGAAAGTTGGATCTAAATTATCTTAAAAATTGTTTACTTTTTCCAGTTAAATAGATAAGAGAATGGATTCTGGCATACTACTGGAAGAGTTTGAACACTAGCTCTACCATGATGAGTGACAATGGGCAGGTGTGCCTCAATTTCCTTTTTATAAAATGAGCTAGTAAGAGTGCCTACCTCATGAGGGTTGTTTGGGGGTGAGTTAATATATGCAAAATGATATGTAGAAGCATGTACATGTTAATTTTATATCTCATTAGCTTTAGGTTGACAAAAGAAACTGAAAATAAGTGATTCACAATACAATTTCTATGTCAATATATAGGAATAAGTAGACAAAATATAGTTTTCATTACACTTTGATCTCTAACTTGAAACAAAATAGAAGTTGGGCACAATATTATGACCAGTTTGCTCTTTATTATGCCCAAGATATTTGTTTTCTACTTATACCAAAAGTAGTATTCCTTCATGTTAGTGTTTTTTATTATTTCTATTTCATTTAATGTTGATACCTCATCTGATTTGCCTTAAATATGAAAAATATTATAAGGTGCATTAGTATTACTATTGTCATTGCTACAACTTTTATAGGAATCAATAGAACTGAAAACAAACTATTTTAATTGAATAGTGCTTAACATGCATTATATCCTCATCCCTGTATTCTATATTCATCTTCAGTTACGTGTACAACTACATGTATGATCTGATGATTAGCTTATGTAGGTAGAAACATCATCATCAGAGACTTATGCAATTTGTATTTATTGCATGACTAGTATAAAGGCTTATATAAAACATATTTTTTCCTAACACTTCCTATTACTACCTGAATCTAAGGTTATCAATTTGCTCTTAAAATAATTCATTCAATATGAATTGCAAATTATAGTTTATTAGGTTACTTTGTAATTAGGTTAAATTATAAGAGGGGAGGGGATTGCTTATATGTGCTATGATCAGTGGTGTTCCACTTAATACACTAATTGTAACTAATAAGCTGGTTAGTTAACTGTTTCAACTGATTTAGTGTACCAGGGCACTCCCAATAGCTGCTTGTTGTGCAGGAATCCACTTTATAAACAAACCTCTTTTTTTTTTTTTACCATTATGAAGACATAAGGTCCAAGATACCCTCACAGATATAAATGTTTTAAGTCAGGGCTTCTTGTTCTCCTCCTAATCAGTTGCTCAAAGAATATAATGTTTGGGATAACAAGGTAAATATAAGAAGCGAGCTTATCACAAACTATAGACATGTATCAGTCTAAACAGCTTAAGCTTAAAACCTTTATGTTAACAAAATTGTATGATTTTTACTCACTTGATTTTGTCTTGATATTATCCTGACAAGTAGAATAATCAAGTCTTATCACCCTCTGTATTCCATTTCTTTAAATGTAAAACCCTTTTTATTTTGTCTACAGATCTATGAATCTGATTCTATAACACTGTGTGACTTCATTCTAAATTTAATGTAGGTTAGTACCTATAAAAACCTATAGCAAGGCAATATGCCTTTTCATTCAACTATATTACTACTTTCACTCCAGTGAAAAGAAAATGCAACCTTTTTATTCGAAAAATAGCCTTCCTGAGACACTGGCACAAAACATCTTAAAAAGAAAAAAAAAACCCTTTGCATCATCAAAATTCCTCACATACTTGGAAGTAAATATATATGACTATTATGAATTGAAATTTTATGTGTTTATCTCCCCTGGTTATATTATATAAAGGAGAAACGAAGTCCTTTAAAGCTCCATTGGTTAGGGTGCAGAGAGACCAAGATATTTTCTTTGTGCTCATAATTATTCTGGCTCTGAAAATGTAATAGAATAACCTTATAATAAGTTACACAGTTGTATAGCATGACACACTTTGTAAAAGTTCTATACACTTTAAAATGACTCACCTTTTGACTCTCGGGAGGTATGATTTGATTTAAGAATATTAACTTCTCGAACAGGACGCAGGGTGGCGCTGCAGGTTAAGATTGGGAATAAAATGTCCTAAAAAGCTCACATATTCTTTTGTTGCAATACGGATTTGAAAATACACGGAAGCAGAGTTGCCAGCTGTACTGGATCACCAACCAGCTTAACTGGGTTACCGGATGACTTTGAGCAGCGATATACTAAGTGAATTTAGGATTAAAAGCAACTTTGAAGGGACTGAAAACAAGAAATATATCTGATCTTTCTTGCGGTTGCTGAAGGGATTGGATGTAAGCACCCCAGCTCCAACATGGAGACACTAGAGAAAATTCAGCCAAACAGGCAAGTGATCTTCTTTATTTTGGTGGTGTTCTTAGCTCAGGTTCACCCAGAGCCTATTCGCTATTCTGTGCAGGAAGAAACAGAGAGTGGCTCCTTTGTAGCCCATCTAACCCAGGACCTGGGCTTGGGAGTTGGGGAGCTGGCCGCCAGGTCAGCCAGGGTGGTGTCTGACAATGACAAGCTCAGCTTGCAGCTGGATCGTCAGACTGGAGATTTGCTTCTGAGGGAGAAACTAGATCGGGAGGAGTTATGTGGTCCCGCTGAGCCTTGTATAATGCATTTCCAAGTGTTCCTGGAAACACCTGTGCAATTTTTTGAAGGAGAATTATCAATCGAGGACATAAATGATCACTCCCCAATATTCCCAACAAAGGAAATGCTGTTGAAAATACCGGAAAACAGCCCACCAGGGACTTTGTTTCCACTGACATTGGCTCAAGATCTGGATGTGGGCAGAAATGGTCTTCAAAAATATACCATCAGTCCCAATTCTCATTTTCATGTCCTCACTCGAAATCATAGTGAGGGCAAGAAATACCCAGACTTGATGCAGGACAAAGAGCTGGATAGAGAGGAGCAGGCTGAGTTTAGCTTAACTCTCATGGCACTGGATGGTGGGTCCCCACCCAGGTCTGGCACCATCACCGTGCAAATTCAGGTCATGGATGTCAATGACAATGCCCCTGAATTTGTGCACACCCCATATAAGGTGCAGGTCCTGGAGAACAGTCCACTAGATTCACCAATACTTACTGTGTTAGCTAGGGATATAGATGCTGGAAACTTCGGGAGTGTTTCCTATGGTTTTTTCCAAGCATCAGATGAAATTAAACAAACTTTCTCCATAAATGAAGTCACAGGAGAAATCAGACTGACAAAGAAATTGGATTTTGAACAAACTAAAATTTACCATGTGGAAATTGAGGCTACAGACGGAGGAGGCCTTTCTGGAAAAAGCACTGTAATCATAGAGGTGGTGGATGTAAATGACAACGCCCCTGAACTGGTCATATCTTCACTCACTGACTCCATCCCAGAAAATGCTCCTGAAACGGTAGTCTCTATCTTCCGAATTAGAGACAGGGACTCTGGAGACAATGGGAAGATGACTTGCTTTATTCCAGATAATCTGCCATTCATTTTAAAACCAACTTTCAAGAATTTCTACACCCTGGAAACAGGGAGCACGCTGGACAGAGAAAGTCAGG